CTATCTATCTATCTATCTATCTATCTATCTATCTATCTATCTATCTATCTATCTAACTAAACTCGAACAAAAAAGTCAAGGAACAACTTGTGTTTTCACGTGTCAAATTTAAACTTCAATATCTCGCAAACCTGTTAAGCTCAGTCCACCAAACTTGGCACACGCACTGACGACTAGACACAGTTTGCCTATACAGCAAACCTACCAGCACAAGCTTCACGGCGACGCGCTGGGCATGCCGAAACACAGCCGAAAAGCATGAATAATGGGCGAAATTTCTCTTCCTCAGCAACATTGGCATATGGACTGGGGGGCTAAAACTGAGCTTGGCACGTGCTAAACAGATGTCTTGGCTGTGAATATCGCTCACATGCAACACTCTATAAGACAGCGTTTTTTAGCCATGTTTCATTACAAAAAGATGGCCTGTCGACGCTCGCTGCTGTTGAGCGGGGATATGCGCTATACAAATGCTATCTATTATTATTATTATTATAGACAGAGGAAGAGCCCTTGACAGGCACGAAGATGGCTCTACGTTCCGAGTCGTTGCACGTTGACTTGGGGTGTCCCTGTCAGTCATGTGGAAGGCTGTAAGAACGACGGCGAGCGACCGGAATGGTTCAGGACAGGACTCAACCAGGGCGCCATGTTTGACCAACGACAGCATCGACCGGTTCATTGTCGGACAGGCTGGAATTCCACGAACCACCACTACAAACTGCATCTGGGGCCAACAACGGGTGACAGACAATGTCCACATGAGCGAGGAGACGGTAGGGGACCGTCTCCGTAGAGCAAGGTTCGCTTCTCGTGTTCCTGCCAGGCGTCCAAGACACACCCAGCCCCACAAAGCAACTCGCTGGGCGTGGTCTGCTCGCCATTCACAGATAACACGACGTCAGTGGGACCAAGTAGTCTTCTCAGACGAATCCAGATCCAAGCTGCTACAACCAGACAGGCGTGCTCACGTCACGTTCCACCCTGACTCATCCAGCATGTGACGCCCTACGGTGGAGGGCCTGGTCTGGTGTGAGAAGGCTTCTCAGCTTACCACAGGACCCTCCTCCTCTGTACCACGTACAGGGCAGTTTGAACACGGCAAGGTACAGTGAAGAAATCCAGCCACCCCCAGCTGTTCCTCTTCTGCAGGAGGTTGGACCCCAGGCTGTTTTGCAAGACGACAACACCATGTCACATTGTGCACGCATCGCGGGGAACTTCTTGCAGCAGCGAGCTGTCACCCACATGGACTGGCCATCTTTTAGTCGGGATTTGAACCCAATATAGGACATTTGGGATCCCATTGACCGGCGGATAAGGGACAACCACCCTCCTGCACAAAACCTTCAACAACTCTAAGGCTACCTCGTCCAGGAGTGGCAGAACCCACCGCAACAAGTTCTCCGAAGGCATGTCCTGTCCATGTGTCGACGCTGTGCCAAGTGTTTGGTCAAACAAGGTGGCGACACCCACTATTGACGATGTGCATAAAAAACTACGGCTGTTCAGACTTTTGAAATCCGACCAGTGTGATCTAAATTAATTTTATATGAACTTCTCGTGGTTGTTGAAATCTGATATTGTACACACATAATCTAAAGAATCGAAAGCATCTTTTTT